AAAGATATTGTTATATTTTCATGTTTGTTTCCCTCAAGCATTTCAATATGGCTACACTGCAATATTTACAGATCTGTATTCCATCTATGTCCATATTCTAGGTTGTCTTTCAATTTCTTCCTTCATTTGGCATTTATAGAACTTGTCTTTTCTTCTTAAACTCTACTATTATGGGAAGTATTGGTGAACCAGTGGTAAGAAACTGCACTGCCAATCTAAAGACATACGGTTTTAATCCACCAGCGATGCCGTGGGAGAAAGATGGGCAATCTCCTCCCATACAATTCATTTGTTGTTGTGTACCATCAAGTCAGAACCGACCTAGAGCTGACCCTCCAGTAGGTTTTCAGAGACAGTTAATAGCACAGGAGGAGACTGTACGTTCTTCTCCTGTGGAGCAGCTCGTGGCCTCGAACTGAGTGGCTTCGGGATTGCAGAGCAGCTCCTTGCCACTAGGCCATCAGAGCTCCAACCCATATAATTTACTGCCTCTAAAAACTCACCAGAGGTTCAGGTATGGGTTAGATCAAGTGGCCAAGCCACCTCTTTCTAAGATCTCTCCTTTTTCTCATATTTTTAAATTTCACTTTACTTTTCAAGTTTATATTTGCTTTGTGTTGTAGTGGTGTTTTGTTTTTTTTTCTTCTGTGTGTTGCCCATGTCTTCTGCTTTCTGTTCTCTCTAGCTTTTCCTGTTCCTTTGTTGGTCTTTTCTCTCCCTCTCTTTTCTTCCTCTCATTTCTACTCTGATCTCCTTATTGTACTGTCTAGGCCTCTTTTGTTGTGTTGTTGGTTTTTTTTTTTTTAAAAAAAGCAAAGCTGTTTTTTAGTTTGTTTCACCTGACAACAGATAACAGCAGTATCCACCCACCTGATCTGTAAGAGTAAACCCAGCTCCTGCTCCACCTGTCATTGAAAGTCTGCAGTTAACACTGGCCCATTCAGTCTTCAACTGCTCCACACAAATAGTGATCAAAGAACCGCACATATACCTCTATCCTCAGAAGACAGAAGGTGAAAACACCGTTGTTGTTGTTGTTGTTGTTGTTGTTGTTGTTGTTGTCGTTGTTATTGTCATTGTTGTTGTTGTTTTTAAGTGCCATAGAGTCTAACTCATAATGATCTTATGAATCCCATCCTATCCTGTGCCATCTTCACATTTACTGACACACCAGTCTCCACCCTTCCAAGCATCATGTCCTTCTACAAGGAATAGCCCCTCCTAGCCACATGCCTGAAGTATGTGAGGCAAAGTCTGATCATCCTTCCCTCCAAAGAGCACTCCATCTGTACCCTCTTCTGGCCGTCCATGGGATGTTCAGCACCCTTCTCCAACATCACAGCTCAAAGGCAACAATTCTTCTTCTGTATCCTTATTTGGGGGAAATGCTAAGAATTACTAAATTAGCAAGTGATGCTATGAATGAAAGTCATTAACACTTGTGTAGCTCATCCTTTCTCCAGGTTCATAGGGTTTCTAGAGGCAAGGTATTTTGGAAGTGGATGCCACGCCTGCTTCCAAGCTTGTTTCAATTGAGGAATGCCACCAAACACTGTCTGCCATGGGTAACCATTAATGCATTTGACACATCAGTGTCACAGTGTTCAGCTTCACAGCAACCACAAGTTACCTCTGTACGGCAAGTGGACACACCAGGGCTATACGACTTAGAATATTTGAACAAAAATAATGAAAAACAGGCCTGAGGGCCACAGATTAGAAGTAACCCACCTTTGGGTTGGTAGCATCACAATCATGCATAACAAAATAATACAAAGACACCACTACCACAATGTTTCAGAGGCAACAGATAACTTTAAACCTATTTTTTAAAAACAAACAAAAAAAAAAAAAACCCACAAACCCAAACTAACAAAAACAAGATGGCACAAAAAAAATAAAATATACAGAAATAGAAAATAATTCAAAAGAAGAAATGCCATTGGAATTGTGTTGCAGATGAGTACTGAATATACTATAGAACACACACACACACACACACACACACACACACACACACACACCCCAAATTTGTTGGAGAAAGTATCCAGGGTGCTCCTTAGAGGACTGATGGTCATACTTTGGGCATGTTATCAAAAGGGGCCAGTCTTTGGATAAAAATGCTATGCTAGGAAAGAGACTCAGATAAAGAGAGAATGATCCTCAAGTAGATGGATTGACACAGTGGCTGTAACAATGGACTTGAACTTGGTGGAGATCCTGAGACTGGCACAGGATAGGGCAAAGTTCTGATCTGTTGCTCATAGGGAAGCTATGATTAGTAGTTGACTGGAAGTCACCTAACAACTTTTCTAAAATATCCCACAGCTATAAGCAGGATCATAGGGAGTTCTGGTGCCCTAGTGGCAAAAAGCTGTGCTGCAATCCTGAAGGCACGTAGTTCGAGGCCACCAGCTGCTCCACGGGAGAAAGATGAGCAATCTCCTCCAGTGTGATTAACTGCCTCTAAAAACTCACCAGGTCAGCTATGGATAGGTTCCAACTCTACAGTACACAGCAACAACATGAGTATGGTCTGGGAGTTTGTGGTCATTACAGTGAATCATCATACTGGGCAGAGAGATAGAAAGTGTTATGGGAGGGCTGACTGGTGTCAGAACTGGTAGAAAGGTTGCAAAGACCCTAAGTATAATGGGAGGGAAGAGTTTTCCCCCCTTATCCTACAGTATATTTTGTTGTGACTGCCATTTTGTCAGTCTATTTCACTGAGGTTCTTCCTCTTTTTTTCACAACATTCCACTTTTCCAAATATGATGTCCTTCTCCAGGCACTGGCCCCTTCTGGAAATATGGAGCTCTGGTTGCATAATCGCAGCAGAACTGCACTGCTGGCCAAAAGACACTCCTCTCTAGTGGGTAAAATCCACTGATAGTCCAACTCTTCCAGTGGCATTTACATCACCAGAAAATTCAGTAAGGGTCAGCTAAGAGTGGGTTCTGACTCTTAGCAATGACTATCTGCCTGCCTGCCATGGATTTTCTGATTGGGGACTGTACAAGAGTTCAGAGGCAGCCATTCCCATGCCACCTTCATTCTTTTTACAGACACTAAGAACTGCCAAATATGCCAGCATGGATCTTAGCTGAAAGAAGAGAGTACCAGAGGAATAACTGTTTCATTGACTATGCAAAGGCTATGCAGATCACAACAAATTGTAGCTAACCTTGAGAAGAATTGGAATCCTAGAACAGCTGATTATGCTCATGCAAAACCTGTATTTGGACCAGGAGGCAGTTGTCACAAAAGAGTAAGGAAACACTATGAAAGGTGTGAAAAGGTGTGCATAAGTGACACATCCTATCTCCATACCTTTTTCAATCTATATGTGAAACAGATCATTCAGGGGCCTCGACTTTATGAGAAGTGCAGCATCAGAATTGGAGGAAGACTCATTAACAACCTGTTCTATACAGATGATGACACAATCTTACTTGCTGAAACTGAGGAGGCCCTGAGGCATTTGCTGCCGACCAAGGACTGCAATCTTTAATATGGATTAGGGAGCTCTGGTGGCCTAGTGGCAAGAAGCTGCACTGCAATCCCAGAGGACCACGGTTCAAATCCACCAGACGCTCGGCCGGAGAAGGAGGCGCAATATCCTCCTGTACCAGTCAGATCTGATTTGACGGTACACGCACACAAAATTAAAAAAAAAAATAATATGGATTCAAGTTCAACATCAAGAAAGAAGAAGAAGAAGAAAAAAAAAGATTCTCACCAGTGGAACAATTGGCAGCATCAAGATATACAGTGAAGAGATTTGAGATTGTATCAACTTCAGCTTGCTTGGCTCCACAATCAACACTCTTGACACCAGCAGTCAAGAAATCAAAAGACGGATTGCACTGAGAAAATCTGCTGTCACGGGCCTCTCCAGAGTATTAATGAGCAAGGACATCAGTTGGAGGCTACGGTAAACCGGACCCAGGCCATGGTCTTTGTAATCACTTGCTATGATTAGAGAGCTGGACAGATGACTAAAGGTGACAGAAGTAAAACTGATGCTTTTAAGTTGTCATGCTGGAGAAGAGTGCTGAACATTTGGACCATTAAGGGAACACACAGGTCTGACCTAAAGAGGTTGAAACCAAGCTCCTCCTTGGAGGCAAGGATTTTGAAGCTCCGTCTCATATACTTCGGGCACGTATCCAGGAGGGACCAGTCCTTGGAAAAGGACATCATGCTTGCAGGGTGGAGGAACAGCGCAAAAGAGGAAGACCCCGGATGAGATGCATTGATACAGTAACTGGGGTAAGGCGGGTCGCTGTGCCTTAGTGAGACTGGCTCAGGATAGAGCAGAGTTCAGAGCTGTTGTACACAGGGTCGCTATGAGTCGCAGGCGGCTCGAGGGCACATAACAACACATGGGGATTGGTTTTGCCCTCCTTGGGGTAGACTCAAAAGACAAAAACAGTGTGATCACTACTATCAAGAAACAAAGAAGCCTGTCCTTTGGGATAGATTTCTGCGCAAACGAGACATAAAAAGATTAAGACCGAGAGATGGCAGTAGAGGTGGACTTCGGAAAAAGCAGGAACCGCCGACGAGGTCTCTGCCCAAAAAGGGTTTTCACTTTAGCGAAGTTGCGGGCAAAAGTGAAATGTGAATTCTAAGTGATTTACGCTGTGAACCGCAGGAGAGCGGGGCCTTGCGCATAAACGGAACCAAGGGTCGCCCTCTGTTTCTCTAAAGACACAATCAACCAGCATGCCCGACAGGCTCGTCCGCGGCGCCCGGCTCCCAGCCTGCCCCGCGCCCCGCCCCGCCGGCTGGTCTCGCCGCTCCACTGCATGTCGGGAGTTGTAGTCTCAGCGAGGCGGCGCGGCGCCGTCCAGAGAGCGTGGCAGGAAACGGAAGCGGCCTAGGGTCCGGCCCCGGCCCCGCCCCGCGCCGTTCTCCGCGGGGCTATACTGACGTGTCTCTCGGCCGGAGATCCCGCTCCGGAGCCGGTCGAGCTGTGGGCAGTGTTACCTTCCTCGGAGCGGAGCTGAAGCGTGACCTGAAACCCGAACCGCCGACACCATGGCTAGTGAGTCCCTGAAGGGGCAGCGCGGACACCGCCGGGACGGATCCGACCCTTCTTCCCCTCGCGCGGCCGCCTCCCAACCCAGCCTGCCCGGGTTCCCGCACAGCCTCGCCCCCCGGTCCTCCTCGAGAGCCCCGCGCGCCCCCTCGGTCGTCTTGCTTTGTGCCCCTGCTTCCTTGCTCATCTTGTGCCGAAGGCTTCGCGGGTTAGAATGGAGGTTTTCTCTTACCCTAACTCCTCTTGTTTCTTCCTCTCCAAGTCAAATTTCTGGAAGTCATCAAACCCTTCTGTGTCATCTTGCCGGAAATTCAGAAGCCGGAGAGGAAGGTGAGTGCCCCAGGTCGCCCTCCGAGGCTGCTCGGTGAAACTGTCTGGGGGTGAAGTTTACCATACAATTTAAAATGGCTTCAACACGCCAGATGGCACGCTCTTCTCCCCGGCATGTCTTTGGGTGTGCTCCGATGCGCCTAAGTTTTGCAGAGAGGTGACCTGCCTGGGTGTGGGGATTCCCACTGAAATCGGCAGGCGGTACTCAACCAAGTTTTATGAATGTTGCTTCAGTGAACAAAGTCCCCAGAAGCCATCCTGGCCTCTGCGGCCTCAGCCAGGAGACCAAGACTGAGTTACCCTTCTTTGTAGACTCCTCACAAGGTCCTATAGCATGTTTGAGTTTTCCTAGGATACTCTGTATTCCCAGCTGCTAGAAGAAATTCGGGGTTCTAACTCTGTACAAACGAGCCTGCACTTTTTAAGACAAGATTGTCACGTTACTGCAAAGAAAGGCATTTCATTGAAAGCTAATTTATACAGCCCACATTAAAGCAGTGAAAGAAAGATCGTGTGGAATCATTATCGGTATTCTGTTGCTGCTCAGTTGTGGCTCAAGAGAAGGTTATGGATATAAATACGGCTGTTAAACAATGAGGAAAAGTTTCTTTAGGTTCTAAAGTTAAAAAGAATGAATAGTATTTTTGTCTCTCCCTTTTTCTAGACTATTAATACAAAATCACAGATGTTTTGATGTTTTGGTTGTTGTCAATCTGGACACTTAGAATATTGGAATGCTTTTTTTTTTTTTTACTTAAAATCATTTTGCATAAATGCGCTACATATGTACTGCCTTTAATGGGATAATTTCACTAGTAAGTTTCAAAGCACCTTGCTTTCCTCCTAATCATAATGGAAAGGGCAGGGGCCCTGGAGTCAGGCAAGCTTGGGTTTCACTCCTCGAAACTCTTTTATAGCTGTATGACCTTGGCCTTGTAATTAAGTGTGTTCAGTGCAGCAGTGGAAATATATGCAAGGTATAGCAGTGACTCAGGAAGAAATTAAGCTTGGAAGGTTCTGAAGGAGGAATAGATGTTTTCTTGAAGGAATGGGGAGAAGTTCCAAGAAGAAGAAATACATAGTATGCAAAGGCAAAGAAGATAGGAAGGACTGCTAGTTGTGCTTGAGGCTGGGAGCCCTGGTGGCCTGTTCTGTAGGGGTTTGCACTAACACAAAGAATGCAGCTCTCTGGTGGTTCAAATCCAGCAGAGGCTCTGAGGGAGAAAGATGGGCAGTCTCCTCCTGTGCAGTTCACAGCCCTAGAAACCCACTCAGGGTCAGCTATGAGTCAGCTCTGGTTAGGCAGCAGTAAGTTTGAGTTCTGCTTTGGTTTTGATTTCTGCAAAGGGTAGGTGGAGAGCAATATATTCGTTGGGAAGGGCAAATGAGTTGGGCACTTGCTTTGGTAAAGGTCTTAGTATGGTTTAGAGGGAGAAACTATAGTAGTGAGGTAGGAGTTGATGGGCTTGGGTGATATAAGAGGTAGACTAGGCGAGGCAGGACTAGGATAAAGATCTCCTGAATCAGTGTTGAATTTGGTTGTATTTAAGAGAGGAAACTAGATTATTGAAAAGGAGGAATTTTGTAAAATTTATCCATTTCCTTTTTGCCCCATTAATAACTCCATTTCTCTGAAAACTTACTACTTTACTTCATCATTAAATTGGAACCAGTTCATAGCTGACCCCCCAGCAAGCATTCAGAGACCATAAGTCACACAGGAGGAGATGTCTCACCTTTCTCCCTTGGAGAAGCTGGTGGATTCGAACTGCCTGCTTTTGCTTTGGGAGCACAACTAACACACAAGGCCGCCAGCATTCACTGTCACATTACTAGTTAGTCTGAAATGACGTTGCTTTCCCTTGACCTAGTTTTAATTTCTTATGTGATGGAGTAACCAGTAGAAAGGAAAAAGTTCAGTGTGTCTGTGCTGCATTTGGAGCACTGGCCGCACGTGCACACTTGGAGTCACCAGGAGTCAGAATCAACAACAACCAACAGTAGCAACAATTGTGTAGCCTCTCTCAGACTTTGCTCGTTACAGAGTCAATGAAATAGTGCTGCATTGTGTGAGAGTTAATAAGGTAATGCTTATGACAGCCTCACATACAGAAAGATACAGTATACTTTCAGTTCAAAGTGTGAAAGGTTTCTCTAAGTTGAATGAGGGATCTTAGTTGAGTCCATGTTTATTAATTTGCTTGTACAAATAATTTATTTCACTTCATTCTCTTCTACAGATACAGTTCAAAGAGAAAGTGCTGTGGACTGCTATCACTCTCTTTATCTTCTTAGTATGTTGCCAGGTAACATATGTCTCATGTCCCACTGTTGGGATAGGGAATAAGGATGAGTTGCAGCAGATGCATTGGCTACTTTCCTCTGCTTGTTTCCAGATTCCCTTGTTTGGCATCATGTCTTCAGATTCAGCTGACCCTTTTTATTGGATGAGAGTGATTCTTGCCTCCAACAGAGGTATGACTTTTAACTTTCTGTGCTTAATTCTGTACAAAGTGGACTTGACTGGCCTAATTAAGAATGTGGCCTGAAAAGTAGAGTGAAGGACAATGCTGTGTTATGCTGCTTGGCCTCATTAAATACTGGATTCAAGATTCAAGCATGCTTTCATTTTGGAAATTGTGTGAGTGCTGTATAAAACCTGTAATAACAAGATAAGTCTGTGTTGTGAGAATACAATCTGGGAAAACTAGAATACATTTTATACACATGAGATGGTAGCATTCTTACCTGTCTTTGTGTTGTTATAATACATTCTTTAGAATATGTAATTCATTTCTCAGCTGTATCTTCTATCTATAAATTGTATGTATGTGTCAAAAATAATATGTAATACTGTTTTGTATACACTAACTAGTAACCTATTGGAAATTTTTTAATATGTGCTAGTGTTGATCATTGTATTTGAGTAACTCATTTTTATAGTTCACATTATTTTCCAAGTCAGTAGGCAGTATAGCTCATTTTAGTATAATGGAAGTAGAGATTTATTCATAGTTAGATATAGATACAATTGCACAAGCCCCCATTCCACATTCTGGAAATTATTTTAATGTTATCATTTTTTATTAACTGATGAAGAAGTAAACCTTTCTTATCTCTGTAAACCATAATGGATCTGTTACAGTGAATATAAATGCAACACTCTGTTTAGACACCATGTGACTTCTTAACAGAATAAGACATTGCCTGGTGTTCTGGCCCGGAGGAATTGAATTTTATACTACTCATTGATATTTTGGAGTTATTCCCTGAATTAAATGTTACTGCCAAAGTGAACCACATTGGATTTGTGTAAGAGGGACCCAGCCAAGTCTTGCACATTGTTTTCTTGATAATACTTTGCTTTTCGAAGCTAATATTTCCTGTGTTTCTTCTCTCTCTTACATCAAGGCACACTGATGGAACTGGGTATCTCTCCCATTGTCACCTCGGGCCTAATCATGCAGCTCTTGGCTGGGGCAAAAATAATTGAAGTTGGTGATACACCAAAAGACCGAGCTCTTTTCAATGGAGCCCAAAAATGTAAGTGATATTGTGAATATTGTTCCTTCCTCTTTGGTTGAGAGGTTTTGGTTTTTTTGGGTTTTTTTATTTTATTATTTTTGTGTGTACCGTCAAATCAGATCTGACTGGTACAGGAGGAGATTGTCCCTCCTTTCCCGGCAGAGCATCTGGTGGATTCAAACCGTGCACCTCTGGGATTGTAGTTGCAGCTCCTTACCACTAGGCCACCAGAGCTCCCCTGAGAGTTTTAATTTGTTGCGAAGTTTTGGGAGTTTTTCTTTGTATGATGTAAAAACCTTGGTTCACCTTTTGCAGATTATCTTGGTCTGTGTTACTAAAAATAGAAACCCATACTTTGAGATCTTTGTAGTAATGTGTGTCAGTTCCATTATGCGTAGCAGTACTTTAATGAGATACCAGAGAAGAAGAGTTTACAAAAAAGGAAAGCTGCTATTACAAAATAGCTTGGTAGCAAAAGTGATTAAATTGGAAGCCTTAAAAACCACATGAAATAGAACGAGACCTGGGCAAGTTGAACCCACCCTATGCTGAGTCTCGGATTCAGGGTACTGCTCACACCTCATGCAGATGCTGTTCCCAAAGCTGTGAGTAGTCTGCCCTCTCAAGAAGCAGAAACAGTTGCCTCTCTATGGCAAAGACAGAACATCGGTCTTCTGTTGCAGAATCTTGAACTATTGCCACATAACTCAGGTGCCCCAAAATGAAAGTTTAAAAATTAATAGTTAATATACATTTTCACAATTTTTCAGCTTTTATGAATAGCCCATTGGCTGTGACAATAAAATGGGAATGGGAGAATGAGGAGTTACATACAAAAGCTGCATGACAGTCAGAGGCATTGAAGAACCTTACAGTGTTAATTGACATGTGTACATCCTGTCTCCATACCTTTTCAACCTATATGCAGAACAGATTATCCGGGAGGCTGGGCTCTATGAGGAGAAATGTGGGGTCAAGATTGGTGGACGATTTATCAACAGTCTGCGTTATGCAGATGACACAACCCTGCTTGCTGAAACTGAAGAGGACCTGAAGCACCTGCTGCAGAGAGTCAAGGACTGCAGCCTACAATATGGATTGAGGCTCAATGTCAAGAAGACAAAGATTCTCACCATTGAACCAATTGGCAGCATCAGGATGGATGGTGAAGAGATTGAGATTGTACACAGCTTTCGTTTGCTTGGTTCCACAGACAACATTCTTGGCACCAGTAGCCAGGAAATTAAAAGGCGCATTGCCATGGGAAAGTCAGCTGTTAGGGACCTCTCCAAAGTACTGAAGAGCAATGGTGTCTCTCTGGAGACTAAGGTGTGTCTGATACAGGCTTTGGTCTTCGCAATCGCTTGTTATGCATCGGAGAGTTGGACAGTGACCAAAGAGGATAGAAGGAGAATTGATGCCTTTGAGCTGTGATGCTGGAGAAGAGTATTGAGAATTCCATGAACTGCTAGGAAAACAAACAGATTTGTCCTGGAAAGGGTAAAACCGGGTGGCTCCTTGGAGGCGAGGATTCTGAGGCTCCGTCTAACTTACTTTGGACATGTTGTGAGGAGAGACCGGTCCTTAGAGAGGGACATCATGCTTGGGAGGGTGGAGGGACGGCGCAGGAGAGGAAGGCCCTCTATGAGGTGGATTGATTCCGTGACTGGGATAATCAGGATGGGAGTGTCAGAGACAGTGTGATTGGCACAGGACAGAGCAGAGTTCAGGGCTGTTGTACATAGGGTCGCTATGAGTCGCAAGCGACTCGATGGCACTTAACAACAACAGCAACAACTCAACTGGATGAAAGGAATGCTAGGTGTCAACATCAACACTTTGTAGAACTGCATGATTTCTTTAGTGATGGTGATAATCTCTGCTTAATGTATGTCTCTTCCCAGCAGTTCATTGCTTGACAGGCTGCCTTGCTTAGATCGTACCACACCACTTTCTTGGCATATGAGAGGTGAGATTGATCAGGGTGCAGCTAATGGCATCAGGTTTTTCATGAAGTTTCATATTCCTAGAGATATTAGAAGTGCAAATACCTTACTAGATGTAGCCTTTACAGCCCAGATGTCTGACTTAAGGCTTGCATAGACTTCGGAGACATTTTACAAGATTGTCATGACTAGCAGAATTGAGGAAAGTACAGCTTATATGTCACCTAAAGCTTTTTTTTAATTGGTTTGCTTACAAAGTTTATATGCATTGTGTTTCACGCTATCCTTCAAATCATACATGAATCTGACAAATACTGCTTTGGTATGGTTTTGCTAGAAATAATAACTATACTTGGGGCTGTGGATGAATACAGTGAATCTCAGTGATAGCCATAGCCGAATATCAAAGAAGAAATTTGAGAAAAGACAATTGAAGACTATATTGATATGAAGACAAATGACACTGATGCCCATTCAATCAAAATTATATATTCTCTTGCTAGTCATTGTCTGCATGGAAAACAAAAGAGACTACATTTTAGTTCAGCTTCTGCATGAGATGACAATTTAATGATTTCTTAGACCTCTTGGTACTCTCAATTTTTTATGTGTAGCTGTACTAACAGAGCTCTGGTGGCATGGTCCATAGGGCATTGCCTTGCTCACCCAAAGGCAGCATGTCTAACTGTCCAAATCCCGGCGCTGTTCAGAAGAAAGATGGGCACACTCCTTCCATTTGATTTGTAGCCTCAGAAACCGAGAGGAGGCTCCACTGTCAATTGGTTCCTATGCACTGAGAGAGGGAAATAAAAGCCATTTCTCACTTTTTTTTCTTTTCATGTAAGACTTTAAACAAAATGAAATAACAGAGCTCTGACACTTACTATCTGAAATAGTTTACCATTTGGAAAGATGTTCTGAAACACATAACTGTGGAAAGAAAAACAGGCTGGTCAGAGAGCAGGGGGTGGGCAGAGAATATGATGGATATAATTTTGATGTGTGTTGGGCAGAGTTAGGAAATTGGGTCCTTTTGAGCATAAAGAGCTCCCACATGAGGTAAAAGTAAAATACAAATTGATTTCCAACTCATGTTAAGAGCCACTGGAAATCAACTTTAAATATACATGACCACAATATCAATAATGAAGAAATCTTATGTTTTATTCAGTAGTTTGGCCAGATTCCCTTTGATAAGCTCACTAGTTCAGGAACATTTCTTACTTTTATTTTTAATGTTTTTCTTTACCCTTAAGGATGGAGCTAAGTGTAGTCTGGTGATCTCTTCAACCACATAGAAGAGATAAAAGTTGCTGCATTATCAAGCATTTAGCCCTACAATTAGCGTCATTCCTACAGTAGTCCCAGGACACATCTGTTTAGAAACTTAGGGTTTCACCAGTTTGAAAATTACAAGATAAGTAAAAACACGAAGACCTTGGTCTGAAGTCCATCTACTCCTAATTTGCTCTAGACAGTCGTTGCTTTGAGTCATGATATGGCCATCTCATTCACTGCTGTCTAGTGAGAATCAACTCACAGCTGACCCTCTGGTGGGTTCTCGGAGGCCATAAATCACATAAGAGATTGCCCGTTTTCCTTGCTCAGGGCAGCTAATGGATTGGAGCCACTCACCTTTGGATCAAGAGTGCAACTCCCTAACCACTTGGCTACCAGAGCTCTCTATGACTGACTAGATTATCTTACATGGCATTGGTGACAGAATTTTGCAAGATAATTAAGATTCGTAATCAGCTTGCTTTGAATAATGAAAAGGGATATTTTCCTAGATATGCTGGCTTTGAATAATGAAAAGGGATATTTTCCTAGATATGCTGGCCAAGAGAATTAAGTTGCCATGTTGTAAGAGGACCATCTTGAGTAGGAGCTGAAGACATCCTAAAGAAGCTAAGAACTAATTTCCAACCATCAGCTAGCAAGAAAAATAACCCTTACTGTACAGCTGCAAGGAACTGAAGGGCACAAACTGAAGTTCAAAGATCTTCAGGGGATACCACTGCCTCATCTCAAGTCAACCTTGTGAGAGCTGAATAGACAGTATATCACAGCTGTGTTTACTTCTGCCAAATGGAATTATTAGCTAATAAATGGGTGGGGTTTAGTGGTAAAAAAATGAGTAATATAAAGATGTGAAAAGTGATCCCTTTGTGTACATGTTAATGGTCCATATGAGTGGCCTGACCTTGAACTTAGGTGCTGAGGGTTTGAAAAATCACCAAATGGTGTGCTTTTGAATTCTTTCTTCAGTAATTTTTCTCCTTTTTTTTTTTTATGTGTGTACCGTCAAATTGGATCTGACTGGTACAGGTGGTGATTGTTCCTCCTCCTTCAGAGCATCTGGTGGATTTGAACCGTGCACCTCTGGAATTGGGTTTTTATACAAACCAGATGTGTAACTTTTTAAGTCTTTCACTTTTCAAAAAGGACAGTTAATCTAGGAAAAGGAAAAATTAAAGAAAAAGTATGCTTTTTTCCCTCCCTGGCACTATTTTACATCATCATGTGCTTTGCTGCTGTGGCTAATTAGACACTTCTCTAATTTGGTCAATTAGATCAGGCTCTTTATAGACGATGTCAGTGTTTCTTCTCCTAGGTTCCTGGCAATCACTGGGTATTTAGTAAGCGAGTCATTTACTACCACATATGACACAGTTTTCTTTTGATTTCTAGTGTTTGGCATGATCATTACTATTGGCCAATCTATCGTGTATGTGATGACTGGGATGTATGGGGACCCCTCTGAAATGGGTGCTGGAATCTGCCTACTAATTACCATCCAGGTAATCACTCTGTGAACACTTTTTCCCTCACGCCACCCACCCTGCTTCTGGCTGTCTAATCCCTTACATTTTTATGTCTCAGATAAATCTCAACTACACATTTAGAAAGGATTCTTTCTAAGAAGAAGCCAAAGGCCCTGTGCTTGCCCTTTGACCTTAAAAAAAAAAAGAGAGAGAGATTTATTCCAATAATCTGTGGGCTGAGGGTGGTTTTCTGACCCAGCTTTCTGGGTTGTAACAGAAAAGTGATTGTGAAAAAGGAAGGATCATGTTCCTGGTAAGCAACAATTATTGTCTATTTGGATTTCTTATTTTTATCTTTTACTTTTCATAGCTCTTTGTTGCTGGATTGATTGTCCTCCTACTGGATGAACTCCTACAAAAAGGGTATGGCCTAGGCTCTGGTATTTCACTCTTCATTGCAACTAACATTTGTGAGACCATTGTGTGGAAAGCATTCAGTCCCACCACTGTCAACACTGGCCGAGGTAAGGACCCTGGGCTTTCCTTATGACAAGATTCCATAAAATGTATTGACAATGCTTACTTTGGCAGCACTTACACTAAAATTGGTGTGATACAGAGAAGATTAGCATGGCCCCTGTGCAAGGGTGACACATAAATTTGTATAGTGTTCTATATTTCGTATTAAAAAAAAAACCACACCAAACTATTAACATGTACAGAATAAAAATTTCCCCATTCCCCTGAAAAACCACTTCAGTTTTAGGTACATCTGCAATCCTGCTTCATTTGAACAGCTCAACAGCAGTAAGTCAGATTGTATTCTGGAGAACATTTAACTTATTTAACTTTTTCCTATGTGCTGTTTAAAACATCAAAGAGTGGCCTTCCTTGTACATCCATCGTCTTATATTTTGAAATGAAATTATTAAAGCAGAGTTCTTTGTGACACAAAGGACAACTTTTCAAGAGAGCACTGGACATGAGGAGTTCCACCTCAGTTGAAATCCTGGCTGTTCACACACATTTCTTCCTCTCTAGGCCTGGGTAGTTACAGTTACTTGAGACAGAATAAATAACACAAAATCGTGGATATGTCTCAAACGTTAATATTTTGCTCTTGTATTTACATGACGTATTGTAGAAATTCATGCATATATTATGTATACATGTGTACCTCAGCATTTTCTTTGAATTGAGCTCTAGAAACAGTTCCTTGCCACAGAAACCATATAATCTCATTCCAAACACCAACTCCACATTTGCCATGTCATAGTGACTCCATCAGGTTTCCAAGGCTGTACATTTTTATGGGAGGAGACTGCTCATCTTTCCTCCCTCAGAGTATCTAATCATTTGAAACCATCAACCTTTTGGTTAGCAGCCCAACACATGTACTGTATCACCAGACTCTACAGTCCCATTAGTGACACTGTTACCCAGTGCAGTTGACAGCCTTTGAAAACCTGCTGCAAGATCAGTTATATATGAGATCTGACTGGACAGCAGTGAGTTAAGATGAAAACAGGCCATCCTGTATTCAACAAATTACAAAGCTGAAGAGTATAACTTGAAGTGGGAAATGTCAGGAGAGCCTTAGAGAAGGGTGAGCAAGATCACATGTGCTCCTTCTAGGAGCTTAGAAAATCTAAGGCCCACTTGGGAGAAACTGGGAGCCAGAAGGGAATGTTCAGTGATGGCTGTGAAAGGATGAAGGGAGATTGGCAGTACAAATGTGTAGCAGAACCATCAGATCTCTTGACCTATGAAGGAGGATATGCTGACATATAAAGTAGGAAGTGAAAGTGTCACAATTGATAAAGGCTTGGAAATCTAGAAACAGCTGGCAAAGGAAGCCACAGTCCTTCCTCAAGTAGGGCACTAATAGGGGAAACCAGAGCTTCACAGAGATGGTTTCCCCAGAATCAGAATGGGAAGAGACAGAGACAGAAAAAGCAACTGCATAGTAATCCAGGTCTGAAAAAAGTTATTGAAGTGTTAAGTGAGGATATTAGGAGAAAAACTGACCTCAAAGTGACATCTTTGCTTTCTAACAGTTTAAAGAGCTCCTCTACAGCAGATTTGCTCAGTGCGGTATGTTATTAGCTGTTTTGAATCCCGCATCCAAACCTATTGATTGTGGATCCAAATAAAATTAAATCCTTGACAACTTTATATTTTCCCTGTGTGTCTGTTACTTGTTAATATAGCTGTAAAGATTATTGTTTTCTTTATATTGAATGCTGTAGTCTTTGATTGTAAGTAAGTGCTTCAGGTCTTTGCTTTCAGGACATAAGATTGTGTCATCTGCATATCTCAGATTGTTGATGAATCTTTCTCCAATCCTTTGTATAGTCCAGCTTCTCAGGTTATTTGTTCAGATATTGTATAACTATCGTGAGAGGATATAATCCTGAAGCAAACCTTTCCCGATTTTATACTATGCAGTATTCCCCTTTTCTGTTTAAACAGTTGCTTCAGTCTGTGTTCACGTTCTCTCCATTGGCACAATGATGTGTTCTGGAGTACTCATTCTTTGAAAGGTTATCCATAATTTGTTACATCTACACAATCAAGTTACTCTGCATAGTCAATGAAATAGAAGTAATTACCTTCCTCAGTTTCTCTGCTTTCAGCAAAGATCCAATGGTAATTATATCTCTTGTTCCATGTGTTCCTCTGAATCTGGCTTGGGTTTTTCTGTCAGTTGATTGTCGACATACTGCTGCATCTGTTTCTGAACTGCCATTAGCAGAATTGTCCTTGGGTGTGGTACTCATGATGTTGTTTGATAATTTTTGCATTGTTTTGGATCACCTTTCTTTGGAATGGGCATGATTGTGAATCTCTCTTGGTCAGGTGGCCAGGTGATGTCTTCCAAATTTCTTGACACTGACAAGTGAGCACTTCACCATTGCCTCCATTTATTGTATCTCAGTTGGCTTTCCATCCATTCCTAGAGCCTTGTTCACTACTGCCTTCAGTGCAGCCCAGACATCTTCCTTCAGATCCATCATTTCTTGAGTACATGCTGTTACCCTGCTGAAACTGAGGAGGACCTGAAGCACCTTAATATGGATTGAAGCTCAGCATCAAGAAAACAAAGATTCTCACCACTGGGCCAATTGGCAGCATTATGATAGATTGTGAAGACATTTAGATTGTTAACAGCTTTAGTTTGATTGGCTTCACAATCAACACTCTTGGTACCAGCAGCCAGGAAATCAAAAGATGAATTGCATTGGGAAGTTTGCTGTCAGGGACATCTTCAGAATACTGAAAAGCAATGATGCCAGTCTAGAGACTAAGGTGCACCTGATCCAGGCCATGGGCTTCACAATTATGTGCTATGCATCAGAAAGCTGGACAGTGACTATGGATGATAGAAAGAGAATTGATTTCTTTGAGTTGTGGTGCTGGAGAAGAATATTGAATTTAAAATGGACTACTAGGAAAACAAACAGGCTCATCCTGGAGAGAATCAAATCAGGCTTCTCCTTGGAAGCAAGGATTCTGAAGCTCCACCTGACATACTTTGGGCATGTTGCAAGGAGGGTCCACTCCTTGGAGAGTGATGTCATGTTTGGGAAAGTGGAGGGATAGCACAAGAGAGAAAGATGTTCGATGAGATGGATTGACTCAGTGACTAGGGTAATGAAGGTAGGTGTGTCAGAGACAATAAGGTTGGCTCAGGAGAGAACAGGGTTCAGAGCTATTGCATATAGGGTCTCTATGAGTCACAGGTGACTTGACGGCACATAACAACAACATACATTCTTCCCATCTCCTTTTGGTGCTTCCTGCATTGCTTAATATTTTGCCCATGAAATCCGTCAGTATTTCAGCTTGAAGTTGGTTTTCACTCCTTTTAGCCTGAGAAACGGTAACCTGAGAAAACCCTTTTGGTTTTCTAGTTCAGGTATTTTTGTACTTTTCGTTACAATACTTTTTGTATTGTTTTCTCAAGTTATCTTTTGAAATCTATTCAGCTCTTTTATTTACTCATCTCTTCCATTTGCTTTTTTTTTTAATTGTGATTTGAGTGAAAGTTTACAAAACAGATGGGCTTTTCCTTCAACTGTTCGCATATGTTTTGTTTTCACTTTTCCACTTCCTCCCTGTAATTCTTACTTGGTTTAATCCTTCTACCTCTTCCTGCCTTCTGGGCTTCATCCTTGGGCATCATCCTTGGGCTGCTCTTTTGACCTTATTGGCTATTCTAGTATGGTTTTTTAAGTTTTGTTTCACATTTTTCTCGACCCTATCTGGGATAACCTCTCCTCCCCTCCTGTTCTGACCTCTTCTAGTGTGGTCAGCCATGGTAGCAGGACACTATCTAGTTTTTCTGGTGTTATTGTTATTGCTACATTCCATCAAGTTGCTTGTGACTGATAGTGACACCCTGTGTACAGTTGCTCTGAACTCTGCCCTATCCTGAGCCACTCTACCTGACTGACAACCCTGCCCCATTAGTCCAATTACTGTGTCAGTCAGTATATCTCATTCTAAGTCTTCCTTTCCTGTGTTGACACTCCATCCTTCCAAGCATGATGACCCTTTCTAGGGATTTGTCCCTCCTGGCCACATTGCCCAAAGTATGTGAGACAGCTTCAAAATCCTTGCCTCTAAGGAGCAGCCTAGTTTCACCCTTTCTAGGGTAAACCTGTTTGATCTTTTGGCAATTTGAACTAATTATGATAAATCTTTCTTTTTTGTTCCAGACAAAGGGAGACCAGTAGTTACACCTTAGGTTGTTGCTGCCCATCTTCCATTTGCTTTAGCTAGTCTTTGTTCAAGAACAAGTTTCAGAATTTCATCTAATCACCATTTCGGTATTTTCTCTTGTTTTCCTATATTTGTTTTAGTAACTTTTTGCTTTCTTCATATTTGATGTCATCCTACCACTTGTCTGGTCTTTGGTCATTATAGTAGTCAGTGCATCAACCTACTCTTGAGATGGTTTCTGAGTTGAAGTGGGATACATTTGAAGTCAAGGTTTAGGGCTCATGAGCTTGTTTTCTTTTATTTCACCTTCAGCTTGATAAGCAGTACTGGTCTGTCCCACAGTCAGCCCTGGACTTGTTCTGAGGATGAGACTAAAGTTCTCCATTGTCTCTACACATGTAATGAAATGGATTCCTGTATATTCTAATTAAAATTGCAAGGTATAATTTCCATATATGTTATTTGTTGTTGATTGCCCTCTAGTCGAGCACGACTCATAGCGACCCTGTGAACAAAAGGCCTGAGCCTCTCTACAACGATCAACAATTTTCAAAGTATATAGAGTTTCTGGTGGCATGTTGTTTAGGAAGTGGATGTCGCTCCTGCTTCCAAAAATATATTGCTAATAAGTTATTTCCTAATATTTTATCCAGAAGAGATATTTGTAATTGAAAAACAGTGATTGTATAAAATTTAATCCTGCAATCTCTGGCATCATTTTTATCACCAAGGGCATATTTCCCAAGTACCAATCTTTGCCATTTCTAACCACCTGTAATTGTTGGTGGATCTACGGTTTCCATTTTTACCAACTTCAGATTGCAGAAATCAGTAAAAAGACTAAATTTCTTCATTTTTGGTACTTGCGTTAGTGTGCAAATTGGTAAATATATCGTTTTACTAGTAATAGTTTTTATAGGTTTATGGGTATTACATTTAACTGTGTGGATCACAACAAATTGTGGCTAACCTTGAAGAGAATGAGAATTCCAGAATACTTAATTATACTCATGCAAAACATAAACTTGAACCAGGAAGCAATAGTCAGAACAAATTATTTGGGAGGGTGGGCTTTATGAAGACGAATGTGACATCAGGATTGGAGGAAAACTCACCAACAGCCTGCATTATTCAAATGGCACAGTCTTGCTTGCTGAAACTGAGAAGGATCTGAGGCATTTGCTGCAGAAGGTCAAGGACTGCAGGCTTCAATATGGATTGAAGCTTAACATCAAGAAAACAAATATTCATACCAAGGGCATGGAAACAGCTCAGATGCCCAAACACAATGGAATGGATTCAAAAATTATAGTACATTCACAGAACGGAATACTATGCAGCATGCAGGAGCAATGATTTTGTAAATTACTACTAAACATTGGAGGAACTGGAGAGCATTATGTTAAGTGAACTAACTCTGTCACGTAAGGACAAATATTATACAAGAGCATTATTGTAGAGTAGTGTGAGGATCGGGGTGGGGTATTTAATAAAGGATCATACAATTTTATGGTTGAAGAAAGCGATGGGTAAATGAAAGGAGAAGGATCTGGTATGAAAAAGAATGTGTATGGATTTTATGAACATTATATGTAAACCAGTATAAAATTTTTAAAAATTATATGAAGAAAACAAAGATTCTCAAACACTGGGCCAACTGGGAGCTTCATGATAGATGGAGAAGAGATAAAGATTGTTAACAGTTTCAATTTGCTTGGTTCCATAATTAACACCGGCAGTAAGGAAATCAAAGATGAATTGCAATGGGAAATTCTCCTGTCAGGAACCTCTCTAAAATACTGAAGAGTAATGATTTCATCTGGAGTCTAAGGTGCACCTGATACAGGCCACGATCTTCAGTATATTTGCTCTGCGTCAGAGAGCTGGACAGTGACTAAAGATAATAGAAGAAGAATTGATATCTTTGAATTTTGGTGCTGTAGAAGAGTATTGAACATAACGATGTGCTGCCAGGAGAACAAACAGGTCTATCCTGGAGAGGGTAAAACCAGGCTACTCTCTGGAGGCAAGGCTTTTGAAGCTCTGTCTCCCATACTTTGGACATGTGGCCAGGAGGGACCGTTCCTTGGTGAAGGGCATCATGTTTAGAACAGTGGAGGGACAGCACAGGAAGGAAGACCCTAGATGAGATGAATTGATAGAGTGACTGAAGAAATGGGATTAAGTCTGTTGGAGATGATGAGATTGGCTCAGGATAGGACAAGAGTTAAGAACTATTGCACAGAGTCATTATGAGTCGCAGGCAACTTGACAGCCCATAACAACGCATGGATATTATCCTGTCACTGACAGTGTTACGCTTCAGGATGACCTTGAAATGGTTTTTTAAAGTGAGTGCAACACTTTTCAATTTGGACAGTAAACCAAATGATTATCTGATTCTAGATGGCCAGTTTCAACTCACTAACACCCAATAGGAAGTTCTGGTGGCCTTGTACTAAGAAGCTGCACTACAATCCCAAAGGCATGAGTTTCAAATCCACCAGTGAGAGGAGGATGAGCAGTCCCTCCCTTGCAAATTAGTACCTCTGAAAACCTGCTGGAGGGTCAACTGTGAGTTCCAACTTGACAGCATACAGTAATACCTAGAATATTGACCTTTATGTATCCCATTCGTTATAATTCCCAGTTTTCGTAATTCATATTTCATATATTCCATATTCACATAATTAATGAATATTTGTGTCTTTACCTTTTGAGTCATGCTGTATCAACAGATGAAGGTCCTGAAGGCTTTATGGTCTGCTTTTTATTGAGGTGGCAGGTCTCCCCTGTCATTAGTGCCCTCTACTTGGAGTGGCTCATCTTCCAGAACTGTATCGGTGTTTCCTTGTTGTTCATAAAGTTTTCACTGTTTATTTTTTTTTTAAAGAAGTAAATCACCAGAGCCACTCTAGTCCTGGTCTACAAGCTCCACTGAAACCTTTCTATCATAGGTGTCATTACTAGGGTTTGAAATGCTGGCAGTATCATTTCCAGCATTACAGTAACATGCAGATCATCATGAAACAACAGACAATTGATTCTCTTAACTGGTTTATTTTTCCTGTTTATTTTGGCCACTTAGAAATACAATGTCACATTTTTTTGTTTTTTCCTTTACCTAATGTGTTCCTTCCTTCACCAACAGGAATGGAGTTTGAAGGTGCCATAATAGCACTGTTCCACCTCCTGGCCACACGCACTGACAAGGTGCGAGCCCTTCGTGAGGCCTTCTACCGCCAGAATCTCCCCAACCTCATGAACCTGATTGCCACCATCTTTGTGTTTGCAGTGGTCATCTATTTTCAGGTACGTCCCAATCCAAGCCTAGAAAATTGTGATGGTCTGAATTTCAGTGTGCCCACTCACAACCCAGAGTTTACTGATACTATGTGAATGCGTTCAGAGAATTGAGTTCCATTGAGAGCTGAACAAATGTGTTCTATCAGCTAAACAAAAGTAAGGCAGATCTAAAGTTTGTAGAGTCATAGTCCCTTGAATTGGCCCTATCAGAAGATATACCATGTTTTTAGCTTCTAGCTCTAGAGAATGACAGCTCTTTAAGCTCTTGCTGTTAGAATCTGTGACTCATAGAGAACTTATAAAACTCCTGAAACATCTATAGTTCTAGCAGAGGTAACTTTGGTAGTCTCGCTCTGGAACTGCATCACTGTGTTCCTTGTCCAACTTCGTAGATTGTAGAAAATCCCTTCATACTTTTTTGCCTTTAAAGGTTGCTAGTCATCTGCTTTTCTTTATGTAGTTGGATCTATTTGTATATTTTGATTGTCCACTTTGTATTCTAATATTGAAAAGTAGTTGAAATGTGTTTCAGTAGTTGTATATCAGCCAAATAATTTTACTGAAAACCAAGTAAAATGGTCTATTCCTTCTGCTGTGACTTTTAGTTACATACTGAGGGATAACAAGCCAGCCCTTCTCCTGTATTTGTCACAGTATTATTAAGAATTTATTTTAGGGAGCTCTGGTGGCCAGGTGGCAAGAAGCTGCACTGCAATCCCAGAGGTATGTGGTTCGAATCCACTAGATGCTGTACTGGAGAAAGAGGGGCAATCTCCTCCTGTACCAGTCAGATCCGATTTGACGGTACACACACAAAAAGTAATAAAATAAAAATTTAAAAGCAATAATAATTTCTTTTAAGTCTGTTCTGAGGCTTGTTCTAGTTACTAGTAGTTTGTGATAACAAAAGAAAGTCTGTTCTCTAAGGGTTTCTGAGGAGGAGGTTATCATATTAGAAAAGTTTGAATTTTCTTTTATGATGAAAAATATCTGAGGGGACTGGGTCAGGGATATGAAGAAGGCAGCTTGATGGCCTTGTTCAGGAACCAATGTAAAAGCATGAGTAATAACAGCACACTTACTGAGAAGAGATGGCTGCTGGGAGAATGGGTATGGATACTTCCAAGCTTGCCTGCATTCACAGGGTGATGAAACGTGGCAGGCTTTGATCTTTCAAAAAATGAAAGCTTTGCACTGTGTTTTGCTTTGAAACATTTCTAAAACTTTCCCTGGAACCTTCTGTGTGTGCCCTCTACTGGGGAAAGGGGCCTAAACGCTTGGACCGTTTCAGACTGGAGGCATCTTGAGCCTCCCACCCCACAGCAGACCTGGCCATTCTGGCTTGTCTCTGCATAGCCCATGCCTCCCACCCCACAGCAGACCTGGCCATTCTGGCTTGTCTCTGCATAGCCCGGGAACAGAGCAACAGTGAATGAGGCGTTCTGGTTCTGTTTGGCTTCTCAGGGCTTCCGAGTGGACCTACCAATCAAGTCAGCCCGTTACCGTGGTCAGTACAACACCTACCCGATCAAGTTGTTCTACACCTCCAACATTCCCATCATCCTGCAGTCGGCCCTGGTGTCCAACCTGTACGTTATCTCCCAGATGCTGTCAGCTCGCTTCAGTGGCAATTTGCTCGTTAGCCTTCTGGGAACTTGGTCTGTAAGTGTAATTGCTTTCAAGTGTACTTACTAAGTTAGCATCCTAGTTAATTACAAATACCTCAAAAATACTTTCTTCATTCATCCTTGGCAAATTTAGCATATTACATTTTCTTCTCTGTGAAAGCTGTACTGTGAGTGTTTAAGTCAAAGTATATTCTTTTGATCTGTTCAGAATTCTTGGTCTTGCAGATGAGGTCTGAGGCAGCATTCACAGGCTTGCTTTCTCCTTCCAGGATACCTCTTCTGGGGGCCCTGCACGTGCTTATCCAGTTGGTGGCCTGTGTTATTACCTGTCCCCTCCAGAGTCTTTTGGTTCTGTGTTAGAAGACCCCGTCCATGCGATTGTGTACATAGTGTTCATGCTGGGCTCCTGTGCATTCTTCTCCAAAACGTGGATTGAGGTCTCTGGTTCCTCCGCCAAAGATGTAAGTTTAGATTTGTGCTCCAGAAAGGCTTCTATGTTAGGAGATAGTTGCTCTTACCTCCTGCTGATAGGAGGGCATCAGCTTGTCACGTTGACATTATAAAGTCACTTCTAACCTCCTCCAGTGGACATTGCTTAATGTTGTCTACATAATTGGTGATAGGAAGGAAAGTCTATAAATGTTTAGTACTGTCATGAAATGTCTTTCTTCCCTCCAACTTCAAACTCAAAATCAAATGTTCCCTTCCTCGGCCCTGTACAGGTTGCAAAGCAGCTAAAGGAGCAGCAGATGGTGATGAGAGGCCACCGAGAAACTTCCATGGTCCATGAACTTAACCGGTGAGTGGCTGGGCCACGTTCCCCCAGCATCCTGTTTATACACATTACCCTAACTTGGCACCAACTGTGTTTCCTCACCCATCAGTATAGTGAGTTCATCTTGGCATTATCTAAATTTATGGTTCATCAGACCTCATCTTTTGAGTTATAGGGTAGAAAAGTCTCCTGAGTCATTAAATAAGTAAGCCCTAGTGACAGGACTGTGAAAATGAACACATACAGCCCCTCTCTTCAAAGGATCCCCCAGTATAAAGGGATAGACATGTTGTATAGGAGCATCAGGTACCCCTGCAACTGACGACACAGGCTTCAGGGGTACCTCTCTCATGTCCACATAGGCAGGCTTCTAAAGGGCTTTGCTCTTCAGGGGGCTGGAGGCTTTGAGCTTTGGACACTCAGATGATGAATCTGAGCATCCATCAGGACCCAAGGTAAAAGTGAATAAGCTGGCAGAAACTGGCCATGAGAAGCCTCAATACCCACTGAGGGGCAGATAGTATTTAAAGTGGGAGGAAGACATCGGAGCTCATGGCCCTTTAGGAAAGTCAATTCTAGGAAATAGGGAATGAGGAAGTGACAGAGTAGCCAGCTAGACAACTGGGAGGTTTGGGGCAGAAGAGAGAGGTGGCCTGCTAATGGGCAGGGGAGGGGTGGGACGAGGAAAGTGTACAGTGACTCTTAGGATATTTTAATGACACTTTACTATTCACATTGGCTTCACACATAATAGCCTCTTTGCTAGCAAGGTTGGGGTTATAAATACCTAGGCTTCTCATGCCATTCAGTTTCTCAACACTCCTCAGCTATGTTCTGAGAATGTGAGAGCAACCATAGACAATACATTAGTCACACTGTGACCTTTTCAAACTTGTTTCCAGAATCAGATAGTCTGACCAGATCATAAGGAAAGCTAGTATTAGGAATTTAGGATTATTTTTTAGTGCCTAATAGAGTAGACACTTTGTTTAATACTCAGCCTCTAGATGTGCAGCACTATTGATTAAAGTGAGGAACAAGTATTGTCTTTCCCCTGCCTCGCAAGTATTAACTTGGGTATTCTAGTAACCACATTAAGATAAGAAGGAAGTGGAATTCATTTTAATCATACTTTTAACCCTGTCAGAGTCATTTGTGCTTATAATCAGCGTAACAAAAATTATTAAATCTAAATCTGCAAGCCCTTGTGTATGTTTAGCACGTACATCTTAATTTGGGCTGGTCACATCCACTCCCTTGGGGGCTCCCGTCACCCTTACTGACCACACAGTCTATTATAAACATAGCCCTTGTGCTGGGCATGGTGCTTGGGAGAGGGCAGGTTGACAGGTGTTCTGGCTAGGAGAAGGCAGCGGGCAGGCAGGATGGTGTGATGTTGCTCACCGCCCTGTTCTCCTCAGATACATCCCCACGGCGGCTGCCTTTGGTGGGCTGTGCATCGGTGCCCTCTCAGTCCTGGCCGACTTCCTGGGCGCCATCGGCTCTGGAACGGGAATCCTGCTCGCCGTCACAATCATCTACCAGTATTTTGAAATCTTTGTGAAGGAGCAGAGTGAAGTTGGCAGCATGGGGGCTCTTTTGTTTTGAGCCCTGTCTCCCTGTGGACAGAGGAGGGGAAGCACCCCTGAGCTGCCCAGGCGGGAGCTGAGCCGACTCCCCCATGAGGTCCCCCCCCACACACAGTAGAGCGCTGCGTTGGCACGTGGACCTCTGGTTAACAATGGTTTTTAATTTTGTATTATTTCATTCCACTTTGTAAAGTGCTAGGAATGTCCCAATTTAAAACTTTTATTTTTGTTTTGTCACTGACAGAATTGTAGAAACAAGGGATTTTTTTTTTTTCATTAAGCTGATAACCAGAATTGGTGACAAAGGTAAATCTATCCATTTAAATTTTTTTTTTTTTTTTTTTCATTAAGCTGATAACCAGAATTGGTGACAAAGGTAAATCTATCCATTTAAATTTTTTTAGCCTTATTTGCACCTTCTCAGTGCTGGCTATGGCTGCAGTGGCCTCAGCTTTTTCCCCACAGAGGACATTCTTTGCTCTGGTTGAAAGCACAAACATTGACATTAATGTCTGCTTTTGTTTTATTATTAAGGGTGAGGCTGGAGGGTGTTTTCTGGTGAACTTGGAAAACTAGTGTAGTGACCCCTTACTAGAGATTGCAGATACCCAGTTTAAGACTCTTTCTCTGTAAGGTAAAACTGTTTACCTTGTAAAGTAGATTTTTAGGACAGATCTTCTACAAGAGAAAGGAGGTGGTCTCAGAGGGTTTGGGCCAGCTGCTGATTTCCCTGCATCTGCCTCATCAGGCTTTGAGGTAGAAAATAACCTGCTTATCTCTGTAATCTCTATGATGCCCTTGGTCAGTGCGGATTCAGAGTTGAGCCTGTCAAGCTGAGATTGACATTGTGGGGGCAACGCAGAACTGATGTCTGTCTGTCTGACTTTCTGCCACCCCTCTGACTTCTCTGCATGGTCCAGTATTTATCCTCACTTCTCTGGAGAGTCGAGGCATGTTGGCGACAATCAGACTTGGAAGGATGACTTCAAGTTCATTATCCACTTTTGCCTCCCAGGCTGAAAATGTCTCGCATATATTTTTGAACTTTTTTTATTGTGCTTCGGACCAAATGCAGATGACATAAATGACCAGCTGCCTCTGCTGTCCTCCCTCCTGCTGGCCAGTCTTACCCACGAAAGATTTCCGTGCTCCAGCGCCAAGTGTGAAAACATGCAGGACGGTGTCCAGGATCAGTTCTGTGACTAGTCGCTGATCTTTGGGAGAACAGGTGCTGTCCTGGCATCACCATGGCAGTGAGGGCAGCAGGACCTCAGGCACTGCGGTCTCAGGGCCCTCGCGATGTTGGTTGGGTCCACCACTGGGTGCTGGTGGAGAACTTGGTTCTGTGACAGAAGCTCCACAGGTGGCGGCCACAGGCATGTTGGTTGGAAACCTTGCCACAGATGCCGAGAGCCAGGCCACAGCTCAGTGCTCTTGGCAGTGGAAGTGGCCAGCTCTGCCCATAAGTCTGGGTGGGACCCCAGAGTGCTCACTTCAGCATTGACCAGGAAGCACAGCCAACCAGGGAGATGGAATGACTTGCCTGAAGCTACCAGCGAGTCAGCAGCAAAACCAGAACATGGCCCAGTCCAAGCCTCAGTCTAGGGCTTACCATCTACCACATGTGGCCTTGTCCTGACCCAGTCCTGAGCAGAGGGAAGGCCCTGCTGCCCTGAATCCTTCCTGCCCCCCACTTTGCTCCCTGTCCCACCCACACCCTCTGGCCCCAGTCCGCTGGCGCCGCCAGAGTAGTCGGACCTCCCACCAGCCCTACCATGTGTGCTGCCGCCACCTGCAGTGGCTCAGCTCGGCCCCAGGCTTGAGCTGAGGGGGACCAGGTCTGGTTGAAGTGGTCTGCGTTCCTGCCCCAGCTGTACCCATGTGCCCTTGGAGTTGTCCAGCTGGGCTCTGTGTGGCCCAAGCTCACATTCACCGGAGGATGAGCAGAGCGGGCAGGGCTGGCCGACTTTCAGGGGACTGTCACTGTGTATGCCAAAATGGCCTAACTGAGATAAGGTAAATAAGTGACAAATAAAGGAACTTTTTACAAACAACTGGTCACATTGTCTTGGTTTTAAATTCTGTTTTATCCCCAAACAGACCAGCAACAGAAGTGAGACTTAGTGAGTCAATCCTGGTTCACAGTGTAAGTCTCTGTCCCCAGGGAGAGGGGCCCTGTGGCCTTTGGACTGGACGCTGTGCTCCTCAGGGTCAGTCTCCCAGTATTTCCACAAACCGAGTAGTTCTGGAGGCTGGGAGTAGAGAGATTGGTGTGAGCTGTAAAGTCTCTTCTAGAAGCTGTGGAAGAGACCATTCTGAGCCTTTCTCCAAGCAGCCTTGCTTGGCATTTCCTTGCCAGCTGCTTCTTGAGAGAAAGATGGGCTGTCTCCTCCCATGTCATTAACAGCTTCTGAAAACCTGCTGGAGGGTTTATTATGAGTAGGTTCCGAGTCATTGTTAACATAACCACCCAAAAAACATCACTTGTCTGAGTTGGCAAACTGACAGTGTTATCCTGGACAAGGCCTAGCCCAGACCACCACCACCCAGTCTGTGCCCCACAGTGACCAAGAGTAACCAGTGGGCAGGAGGTTCACCATTCATTCCCAAAGCCCACTGTGAACCAGACTGAAAAGGGACCTTCATTACATACCAGCTAGGCTCCAGGCTCTGTATCTCCAGGTAGTCTTAGAACTCTTATTTTGGAAATAAAATTTTTGAGATGGCAGTCAGGACAAGATGCCATTCAAGGACCACAAATGTTAGGACCTGATGGGCAGGTCACACCACAAATGGCAGAGCCAGTACACAGTCTTGGACTTCCCCTACCCTGTTGGGCCAAGTTGGACAGAATAGGGACCCATGGAAATGTGGTATCTTTGGCTTAGTCCCAACGGGGGCTTTTGGCCCATCCCAGCCCCACCTCAGCCTGCTCCCTCTTCCCTCCCTTGCTGACACCTGATGACCATACCCAGGCCTCACAGGAAGCCTAGGTGCAGTGAAGAGTAAGCTTTCCATCCTGGCCGGGAGGATCAGCCCTCTCTGGGGACATGGGGCACCACGCAAGGGCTAGCAAAAGACCACATACACACTGATTTCCACTGGTGTCTTAGAAAAGCAGAAGTTCACCTACAGTGAAAATTTTTAAGATTAGGGTCACTTCTCTGTTGGGACCTTGAGGGATGACTGGCAAGCACAATGGAGCTTTTATTGAAGGGTGATAAAATTTTATATGGCTTTTAAAATTCATTAAATGGTCCACTTAAGATTTGTGCACTTAAAATCATGAAGATCCTCAAGACTTGTGCACTTAAAATCATAAAGATCCTGGTCTGATCGAAACTGGTGGAACCCTGGCTGCTTATCAAAAAGATCAATGGTTCAAATCCACCAGCTGCTCCACTGGACAAAGATGAAGCCATATGGTTCCACAGAGATAGAAAGCCTTGGGAATCCTATCAGTTCTCTGTCCTGAAGGTTCTTTATGAATCAGAATCATCTCCATGGCCATGGGGTTAGTTTGTCTTTTTTTAACTGTTATATTGTTTTGCATACAAAATTCACATGTCATATTTTGTTTATATATATTATTTCATGCATTCCACTATTCACAATGCGTTTCATGGAATCATTCCCATACATTGTGTTTTATAAAATTAATCACCATTGATCCATGCCTGCCATTACTCCACCTTTTCAAGTCCACACTGGGTCATTCCCAATTCTTTCACCCCTTCACTCTGCCCTCACACCTCAAGAATTCCTCCCTTCCCTGACATCAAACACCTTCTCCCTCCTCTTCCCTCTTTGGACCTTTATATACATGTATTGTAAAAATAGGTGGTATGCTTTTCCCCCCCCTTGTGTACCATTAAATTGAATCTGACTGGCACAGGAGGAAATTGCCCCTCCTTCTCCATCAAAGCGACTGGTGGATTCAAACCACGCATCTTCAGGATTGCAGCACAGCTTCTTGCCACTAGGCCACCAGAGCTCCCTTTGGTTTGCTTTTATTTTTTGTAAAGTGAGTTCCCACCACCAGATCCTTCTCCTTAGAATAACCAAGTGAGAACAAAGAGCAGAACCTGCCCAGGAATAAAGCCTAGTGGGCAGGAAAGGAGGAATGGAAATGGGAAACAGGAAGTGGGAAGAGAGCTATTACATTGTGTGACTACAATTTATGTAATGAAATGTGTATCATTTTTAATAGAAAACAATTTTGTAAACTTTAGCTTAGATTGTTGCTGTTGTCGTTATGTGCCATCGAGTCGCTTGTGACTCATTGCAACCCTATGTACAACAACCCTAAACCCCGCTCTATCCTGTGCCAGTCGCACTGCCTCTGACACACCCATCCCGATCACCCCAGTCACTGAATCAATCCACCTCATACAGGGTCTTTCCCTCTTCCACCTCCACCCTCCCAAGCATGATGTCCCTCTCCAAGGACCTGTCCCTCCTTACAACATGTCCAAAGTATATCAGACGAAGCCTCAGGATCCTTGCCTCCAAGGAGTAGCCTGGTTTAACCCTCTCCAGGAAGAATCTGTTTGTTTTCTTGGTAGTCCATGGTATATTCAACACTCTTCTCCAGCAGCACAGCTCAAAGGCATCAGTTCTTCTATCCTCCCTAGTCATTGTCCAACTCTCTGATGCATAAGTGATTGCAAAGACCATAGCCTGTATCAGATGCACCTTAGTCTCCAGAGAGACACCGTTGCTCTTGAGTACTTTAGAGAGGTCCCTAACAGCAGACTTTCCCATCGCAATATGTATTTTGATTTCCTGGCTACTGGTGCCAAAAGTGTTGACTGTGGAGCCAAGCAGACTAAAGCTGTGGACAATCTCAATCTCTTCACCATCCATCCTGATGCTGTCAATTGGTCCAGTGGTGAGAATCTTTGTCTTCTTGACATTGAGCCTCAATCCATACTGAAGGCTGCAGTCCTTGACCCTCTGCAGCAAGCATTTCAGGTCCTCAGTTTCGGCAAGCAGGGTTGTGTCATCTGCATAATGCAG